CAATCAATGATCTCCCAAGGATTGAGAAATAGGCATATTAGGCTGACACGGAAGGAGCTAAAAACGAAGACTGAGAAATATATTTCTATACATATGGGAGCGTGTCATCCCAACAGCTAAGATCGCTAATGACTTAGAGGGAACCAATGCAAGGCTTTATTTAAAGGGAAAAAAAATGGCTATGAATGTGATATATACAATGTTATATGATATATATGCTATTATATTATTTTTAAACAGTGTCAACCCCAGGCTGATAGTTGATGACGATGATGATGATGATGATGATACCTTCCACATTTCATCTGATGCCTCATACATCACTTTGCCTCAGTCATTACTAAGCACAAAAATAACCTTTTAGGGTCCTCATCAGTTATTTCCATCCAAGATAAGAGTTAAAAGTTTTATCACTTAAAGACAGAGTGTGTAACTTAGAAAAGGCCTCATCTTGAGAATTTTTTTTCTTTTAAAAATGCCAAAATTTTTAATGCCTTTTGTATTTCAGGGACTAAGAATCTGGTACCTAGCAGTGTTGTGAATTTCGAGGCCTTCTTCCCATTGAGCCCTTGTGATGTGTAGAAATCGTGCCGTGTAGGGTCACGTAGATGGCTGTGTTGCTGAATATCTGTTCACCTAGTGTTTTAAAGTGCCTCATGGGAGGTTTTAAATGATTATAGTTAAATCTATTTACAAAGACTTGAACACACTGGTGTTTTTTCTAGCAACAGGAAAGGTCAGTGGTTGCTGAAGACATGCTGCCCAATAAAGAACTCTGCCCAACTGGAGACAATGTTCAGCCAGAATTCAGACAGTCACTCCATAGCCTTTGAGAGCCGTCAGCCATAGAAGTGATGGGTTCCTACTGCCACTCGCCAGCAGAGCTTATGAATGCTAGAAAGTTTTTAATACTCGGGCAAATGTGAATTCTAATGACCTTAAACCTTGGTGTCCCATATACGCAGCATGCATAACACTGGCTAATAATTATCCAAACAAACTGAATGGAGTTTCTTCTGATTGAATTTTATAACCAAAACCTGTGAGAACATTTCCCTGAAAACTCAGATGCTCTAGAAGTCCAGGAAGGGGAGACGGGCAGGATTAAGGGCAGGGAGCAGTGTGGTTCCGGAGCAGTAGCAGTCAGTGCTCAGGAAACATTGAGTCTTCAAAAGACAAATGCAAATGAAGCCAGAAAGTCGAGTCTCTCTAGAACCTCCTTTGAGATGAGCCCACAAGAGTTGTTCTGTTTTTCCCTGATGGATTACTCTTGGAAATCATTTCTAACGTTTGTGGGAGTGACTCATTCCTCTGCAGTGAAACAATTAAATTGGAGTTATTGAGGATCAGCTCTAATGGGAAAGTTACTTTAAAAAAAAGTGGTGCTATCATGATTCCAGGTTCCCATTGCCGTGTGTTAGCACCTGGCTGCCTTCAACTAAGAGAAAGCTGATGGGTGGTCCCAGGGTGGCATTTACTAAGTTAGGCCATCAATCACTGTAGAATTAATTAGCTGGCCCACTTCAACCATTCCTTCACAGGCATTTATTAAGCACTTATTCTTGGCCAGGCACTGGGCAGAACCCACAAAGATAGACGAGACCTAGTTCTAATTCAGCCTGAGGTTTAAAACAGGGTTTCCTTCTAAACATAAACTATGTTCTTCCTTCCCTGTTTGCCTCTGCCTATGTTTTCTTATTCTCATTTTTTTCAGGCAGGAGCTGGTTATTTCTCTTTAGGAGAGGGGTAATAAATGAGATAACATTTTTTTTTCAATGAGCTTTTAAATAAATCAGTGGTTTGGGGTGAAGCTTCATAACCTCTTGGGAGCTAATATCTGACTTTAGTAAAGTCAACATTGTAATATGTTGGGAGCTAGATGCTAAACTGACTCTTTAAAAAAAAAAGGACTAAAGTTTCAGAACACGATAACCAAAAACCTGGAATGTAAATTGGAGACAATAACACATTCAGTTCTCATGTTCAGAATATCTTACTGCCCATGTGATACAGATCTGTGCCCTGCTTACCTAAAACTATACATATTGAAAAATTAAAACTCTATTAAACATGTTATTTTGAAACTCCAGCAATTGACATCTTTCATGTATTGCTGGCCAGATTTAGAACAGTTTGACTTACTTGAAGAAATTGGCCCTTGAACACCTAAAACTAACACAATGTTATATGTCAATTATATCTCAATTAAAATTAAATTTATAAGACAAAGTAAAAAAGAAAATTGTTTCTTGCTCTGTTCTCTGAAGATCTATGATTTATTTTAAATTGTTAGCCTTAATTGATAGATAAATTGACTATTAAAATTTAAAGCTTCTATGCTTCAAAGGACACTATCAGGAAAGTAAAAGACAACACACAGGATGGGAGAAAATATTTTAAAGCATATATCTGATAAGGGACTTGTGTCCAGAATATGTAAAGAATCCTTACAATTCAATCATTAAAAAGTTACATTACTAATTCATGAACTTTTGATAGTCCTGTATCTTCTGGTGTATTCTTGGAGTGGATGTTTGCTCAGTCGTGGGGACCGAGGACAGTAAGGGTGGAGCTGATCGCTTTCCAGTTTTGCCTCAGTTGACCCTTGCAGTTCTCAGAAGGGAGTGATGGAGGCTGTGGTGGTGGTTCTCACGGCTTTTGCAGCCGAGCCCCGCAGTCCTTCCCAGCCTCATCCTCGTTCCCTCCTCCAAGAATACCATGCTGTCCCGCCACAGAGGTCTGTCCTGCTGCTCCCATGCCCCAGTGGCCCACCCTCCCCTGTGGTGGTCCAGCTCTCCAGAACCCGGCCCTTCTCACCCCTCTAGCTACCCCCCACCTGGTGAGCTTACTCTTCAGCGACCAACTCAATTCTAGCATCTTTCTGTGGCCTTTCTGAAAAATCAATGGCACCTTCATCTGAGTTTCATAGAATTTTTTGTGTACCCCTGAGCAAGCACTTATCTGGTGTTCCATAACCTTACTTGGTATAAGTCTGTCTCTTTTGGTAGACAGTGAGCACTGCATCTCATTCATCTACTTGACCTCAGTCCGAGCTCACCACCCAGCCACCAGTAGGTGTTCAGTAAATGTCTCATTAATGGAATTGTTAGACTGGGTGGAGCCTTGTCTTTGAAGAAAAAGATGGAGACAGGTATATGTGGTCCCAAAGGACCTAGAAAAAAGGGGTCTGACTCTATCGTGTGTATTTCAAAGTGAGGAAACAGAAACACAGGCTGCAATGAAAGCACTTTGTGTTGCTCAGGGGAAGGACCAGGTGACCACACAGGTTCCCAGACTTGACCTTCCGCTCAGAGAAATAGATTCCGGTTGCCAGCCTCTGCCGTCATGCCTGGAAGTGACTGTATTTGGGTTTGCGCATCCCACCCCTCTACGTGCTTGGGATGTAACCACCTGACGACTGACCCTGAGTCATGAGCAAGTGACTCTCCGTTCCTTTCAGTGTACTTTCCATCTAATCAGTTTGCTGCCAGCTCACAGCCTTCAACCGCATGCCATTGGAATGATGCTTCTTACTGCTAGCTGCTTGGAACCTAGCTCCGCTCAAACTCAAATCTCTCCTTTGGAAAATTCAACCTTATACCAGTCACCTTTGTGAGCCAAGCTGATGAATTGAGTTTGTTTCTTTGGTTTCTTTTTTTTGATGTACCTCCTTCCGGTTTGTTGTTTTGAGTTTCTTATTATGCTTGCTTTGTTTTCTTTCTTGCTCTCCCTTCTCTCATTTTGTTTTCTCCATTCTTCTCATTGGAGGCAATGAGCCATCCAGCGGCCGGAACTCCCCTCTCCCCTACCGGCCGGACAGCCGCCCTCTAACTCCAACTTACGCTCAGGCCCCTAAACATTTCCATGTTCCAGGTAGGAGCTGACACGGTCTGTGTCTTGGTGTCCTGTCACCGTGTAGAATGTAGGCTTGTCACCTCTGTCTCGTCTCCATCTCTTCATACTCTGCTCATTAAGATGCACACGGTCAACAAACCCTAAATTGCAGGATCTGACCCAGGGGCCTTTCAAAAGTTTTGTGTGTGAAATACTAGGATTGTATTGGAGGTTTAAGTTTTCTCAAACGTTTTTAAAGGGGGGGGAGGTGGGAGGCAGAGGGTTGAAGGAGTGAGGGTTGAGTTGCTTTGTTTCGTTTTGTTGTACTAAAATTTTAATTTTACTCTTATGTTAGTACCTTTGAAGAAACCAGTCTGTGGTTTGACTAATTATCACAATGATAGTCTATTTGTTTTCTCATCCTAAAGGCTGAACCACAGCACTCTTAAGGGTACTTTTACTTTATCTGTTTGTCTCCAGTGTGGAGATTCTTTCTGTGGACTCTTCAGAGAGCTGTAAAATTGGGTCAGTTGGATGGATGGTCTTTCTTCAGTGTCCAACTAACTAACCAACCCACTCCGTAGCCCACAGAGATATCTTGCAATTTAGGCTTGGTGCTTATAAGCTTTGCTGTCATGGTACAAATAGCAATTTGCTATCAGGAACTGGAAAAATCAGAACCCATCAATGTCTTAATGTTTGGGGTCAGCTCAGTATGTGAGGAGAAGATGGGCCATCAGAAGTCATGACATTATTTTTCCATCAGAAGTAGATTGTTCTAGTGCTTTTAGCTACTGCAAGTGGTTTAATAATTTGCCTACTGTGTTCATGTTAGCATACATACTTGGAGACTAGTAGTTCTTCTCTTATGCGTTCCAAGCTTACCTAATAAAATAAAGGAAAGTTTAGTGGGATTCCTACCACTGAGATAGGACTGCCTTTTTTTTTAAGTTTCATCGAACCTTGAAAATCAAGTTGGTACATTTGTGACGTTTTTGCATAAATAAAGCCCCAAGATACAGTGCCCAAGATTCTGGGGAAACAAACCTTTTGACATTTCTGGAGGATTTGTGATCCAATCAAAGTGAAATGGTATCATAATCAAATGGGGTCCTATATAAATATATAAACAAGATTTGGCATCTCCTTTCTTCTTTCTTTTTAAAATTTGGCCTATGCAAATTAGGATTTTGTCGAGCATCCTGTCAGCACATCAGACTAGCCTTGCACATAAAAACTGTGTCTATGTTTTACAAAAAGATTCTCTTCATTTTACTGCATTGCTTTCCACTCTTCCACTCATTAGTTTAAAAGTAAATTGAGCCACTGGTCTCAACTGGGAGCTCAATTTCTAGACGGTAGCAATTTGGGGATTTTCTCCAAACTGGTTACGTTGTCCTCACCATGACAGTATCTCCACTGCTTCCATTTCTTCCTGTTTTAACCCCACTTTTAGTGAAGCGTGTATTTGAAATAAATGGCTCATGAGTGAATGACATCTCTCTATAACCTAAGATGTATTACAAAGGATTCCATATGACGTGTCTAATAGTAATTGGCTCGTTCCTGTAATCTCTTCTTCCAATAACCTCAATCCTTGTAATACAAGTCAACCTTCTGGGTTATTTTTGTTCAAGAGTCTTCAGTTTGGTTTGCCTCTTGGTTGATCTGTTTTCCCCATCGCTGAATAGGTTCCCATAATCACTCATCTTTGCTTTTCATTTCCACAGATCAAGGGATCAACATTTACCGAAAACCACCCATCTACAAACAGCATGGTAAACCCCTCTTTCCTCCGCGTAGCGTTTAAGTAGCAATGTCAGCCCAACTGTCTGTGTCCTCTGAAAGGCCCACCTGCTGCTGCTTTTGAGAATCAAACTGGGGCGCCCAGCGTGTTACGCCTTGATGGTCTCCTAAGACGCAAATATCATGAAATTGGTTTTTGCGGATAGAGAACACTTTGCTTGGTTAGGAAGCGTCTAGCCATTTCTGAGCCCACTAAACCAGGTGTCACTTCACTCAGAGAGAAGGGGGAAGTCCTGGTCACATAAAATAATCCACAGACCCCTTACCAGACTTTTTTGGAGGGCATCAAATAATTCCACCAACCTCAATAATAATTTTGATGAGCTTGCAGTTAGTGTAACTAATTAAAACCAGTGATAGCCAGCTATCTAAAAAGTGAATTTGATCGAGCCTATACCAACCCGACTGTCCAGTTCCCCAGTTTCTGGTGGGGTGTGCAGAGTCTGTGCCCTGTGGTGGAGCGGCCGGGACACACGCTGAGACAGAGGTCCTAGGCTGCGTCCCAGCTCTTCACCTAAAAGTCTCTGGGATAGCCCAGACGTAATCTCTGTCCCTCAGTTTTCTTGTCTGCAGGAACCAGGGCATTAGGCCAGCTTGTCTCCGAAATCCTTGCTAACTAAGATCCGCTGATGTGAACTGATAGTTGTGTTTTTCTCTTCAGGGAATATAGAACTTTTAAACCCAGGAAATCGCATTACTGTTTGTAAATCCCATTTCCCTCCACCACAATGGGTCTCTTATAGATTCAGCCGTTACAAATCTTTGTGAGTGGCTAGAAAGCCAAGACTGGTCTTCAGGTGATTTCAGAAAATTATATGCAAATTGTTCCTGGAAATTTGAAGGCTGCCTTTAGAATCCAGTTGATATTCATGTGTCCTGAAGGCCGAGGATGACATAAAAAGCAAAGTTGAAAATGCAAAAAGGAAAAAATTTTAGGCCAGCATCCTAGGGGATAAAAAAGAGAATGTATGTATTGTAATAGTTCTAGAACTGTCTTTTTATTTTTCTTCATCTGTGTGTTTATTTTTAAAGAGATTACACCCTGTGCTTGCTTTTTTAAGTTTGTTAACATTGTTTTTGTTTGCTTTTTTATGGTTTAATGTCTTCTCACCCACTCATTAACATGTGAATGTTTACTGACTTCACCAATTCTAATGCGTAAGTACTGTTTGAAGTCCTGCTTTGTTTTGAAATTTAAGAATATGATTTGATTTATCAGTTTAGGGACTTTTTTTCTTTAATACTAAAAGCTCTCCCTAAGACCCTACCTCTCTAAACAAAAATAGTCAAGTAGCTAAGATTTAAAGAGATTAGACAATGTTAGGTTATATATTTCATTGGCTTCTTTTTGTGAAATTGACTTTGACTTTAGTCTTTACTTTCTTTCAATCTGTTGTGATTAAGAGGAGCACAGCCAGAGAGGCACATCCCAGAGGACATCCTGCAAAAAGAGCAGTTCTGTGTGACAGAAACAAACGTCATACCAACACTGGGTGGCTGTGCCCTGTGCGTTTGGAAAATGCTAGACGTAAAGTCACACTGCTTGGTCTTTAATATGCTGACACATTTTGTCCTTCTGGAAGAACAGAATATAGAATGCAGTGTTTTCCAAACTGGATTTTCTTTTTTCTCATGAGGTTAGAGTTTCAGAAAAACACTGTTCCATGCCTAGCTGAGAATTTACCCCTTATTCTCACATGTGGTGACCTCAGTCGAGTTACTTAAGCAAACTGAGATCCAGAAAGTTACAAAAAAGTGGGGAATTAGAGCTGAAGATTCAGAGTTACTTCCAGATTTACAAATCTGTGAGCCCAAGGGTAGGAGGGGTGAGGGGCAGCAAGTTTTATTTAAAGCATTGTAAATATATTTTGAAATGTTTAGTAGCATCCCAGGTCAGTTTGCAAAATTAGCTGGCATCAGTGATTGAGCATTTAACCTGGCTTGTTTTGCTGTGTTGCTGTGATTAGATTAGGGGCCCTAAGTCAAGGACTCTCCTGTAAGCATAGCTGTTAAGATCTCTGTGAACAAATGCTGCTCCTAGTCTGGCTTTTGTTGTTTTAAAGTTGGGTGACTCATCTGTACGTGCAGACCCTTGAACAAAACAGTGAGTGGGTACAGCAAACCTAGGTCTCAGTGCTAAATTCTTGCAAGCTGGCCCGTGAATATTCCCGCTCCCGTTTCTCCTAGGACTCAAGGACACATACACAATGTGCAAGAATTAAAGTGAACTGGACCAATATTCTTGCAGCTAAGAAGCCACAAGATACAAAACCAGTCAGCTCTCTTCTGATTCACACTTACAGACAAATGACAGTGTCATGCTTTTCACTTATCTCTTTTATTGCAAATTACTAATTCATATTTCTAATTGCTCTAGAAGAGTATTGTCCAGTGGAACTTTCTATGATGATGGAAATGTTCTCTAATTATGCTGCCCAATACAGTAGCGGCTAATCACACATGGCTATTGGTCACATAAAATGTGGCTAGTACAACTGAAGAACTGAATTTAAAGTTCAATCATTTTGTTTTATGTAATTGTACTTATTTCAATGTCCATAGCCACATGTGGCTAGAGCTGGTATTGGACACCACAGCTCCAGAACATGGTTTTCAGCTGGAGAACAGATAATAGGATGAAGCTTTGCTTCTGGCAGAACACGAGGAGAATGAGTTGTCACTAGGCACTGCTTAGTGACTGGACAGTTGATAATGGTGGCAAACAGCTTTCTGGAGGGAATACTTTTACCAGAGGACCAGAATACTATGTAAGAGGGTTGTACCACCATGGCCTTGCAGACCACTAGCTAAGCTGCCCTGATTCCCATCCAGATGCAGCTGCCCTGGCAGCCCAGAGCAAGTCTTCAGAAGACATCATCAAGTTTTCCAAGTTCCCAGCAGCCCAGGCTCCAGACCCCAGCGAGATACCAAAGATTGAGACGGACCACTGGCCTGGTCCCCCCTCACTTGCCGCCGTAGGTATGCGACTGTTGCAGCTAAGCCAAATGGACAGGTTGCTAGGAGATCTCAAAATAAAATGCTTAAAAATATGCAAGGGAATGTGTCCTAGGGTGAAGGTTTTTAAGAAAACTATGACCCAGAGGTAGAACAGTGAGAAGAACTAATGTAGTATTTAACGTGTGTGCAAAATACTTCAAAGTTACAAAAACCCAACCCCCAGAGCCTTGTGCTAACCCAGGCCTGTGAGGTGCAGAACTGGTCTAAAACGGATGATTTGTGTGGGCTCTCAGTTATTATTGTAAAATCGGTAACTCTTGAATGTAGTTGAATCGAAGCCTCCTGCCAAGAACATTGTTCTATATGATTGGAGTATAGTGGGTGGATTTACTGAGTGTCCACAGAAGCGAGACTTCCTTCGTTTAAATTTGTTTTAGACGATTTCTGGGTTGTAATTACAGTTCTCTTAACAACCAGTCTTAACTCTGAAGCACTTCACTTTTCTTGCCTGATCACGTTCTCCATTACTAAGTGGGTGTTCTGAAGTATTACTCACGTAAAGTTACATGATTTCACATCTCTCATTTCCATGACTTCTGTGCTAAAATGTCGCATTTGAGCTGTTCCATTCATTTCATTTGAACCACACATTTATGCTTTAGAATTGTCTGTGTCTTCACTGTTTTGTCAATAGTGAAATCACTTGACTCTAGAAAGTGGTATTAGCAAACTCAGAAGGTAATACTGAAATTTTAGTGAGTCAGCTTTATAAAGATATGACTGTCTTAATCACATTTCTGTTGACAACCTAAAAGGCCTTCAGTTTTCCAAAATTCCCAAATTTTCTTCATCAAGTTATTTTTGAAATAACTTTTACAAGCAATATAAGCGAATTTTAAAGCAATTTATATTTCTAGAAATAGTTGAAGGAACATCTACCTCCCAGGTTCATTATTCCCAAGTATTCTATACATTATGTTGACTTAAGATGTATCTAATTCTTGTAAACTTATGTATTAATTTTTATTAGTGTAGGTTAAAAAGACGAAATTCAGAGTGATGTTTATGATTTTAGAAACTAAAAATCAATCATCAGCTTTTTTTTGTGCCGGTCCATGTCCTCCGGGCAGTTCTTGGGGCCACTTAGGTTTCTGGGTCCAGTCATTGTTGCTGAGTGGGGACACTTAAAACAGCTAAACTTTGAGGGAGAATTAACATTCTGTTGTTATCAACAATCATCACTAAATAGTTTAAAGCTCTTTGGGGTTTCGGAATGAAGAACACTTCTGGTCCATTAATCAAAATGATAAAAGCTGAGGCTATTAGTTAAAGTTTATTTTGATTAGATTAGCAAGCTTTCCTGTTTCCTCCCACAGCCAAATTAATCCAAAGCAATTTAGGAAAAACAGTAATTATCTTGATTTTTCCAACCATTCAGACAGATAGATTCCTCCTTTCCATTCCCCAAGTCTCCTTTTCCAGGAAGCTTAAAAAGCATACATGATCTGCTATATTATACCGAAAAGTTACTTTTTTAGCTGTATTAACACTTTTTTATTGAACCATTAGTTTAAAACTCTTTTGTGACCATTTTCCAAAAAACTGAGGGCAAGGAAACATTAGAGACCCATCCCTTAAAAATAAAAAGCATGCTTCTTAGTGGATTTATTGAGGGTAGAAGACAGGGTCATAGTGTGGTGACAAGCCTAAATATTCAGAAAAAGAAAACTACAAGATTTTAAAACTCATAAATGTTAAAAAAAAAAAGATTTAAAAACTCGTCACAATAGACTGACGACCTTACCTATTTGATGGGATCTAGATGAATTTGGATTCCTCTCTCTCTGAACGTTGACCTCAAGGACATCAAAATAATAACTGTAGAGGCCCCTCCCAGCCACTACGAACGCTCTGACCAGTGGCCAGTGGAATGACTTGGACCCAGTCATAATGGCAAGCCGAGCTCTAAATGAGCATATCAGATTGCCAGGGGTGGGCAGAAGTCACACATACTGAATCGCACATTGGACTGGCTTGTCAAATGGTGCCCGTTGTCTCAAGAAACAACCAGCCAGGGGTACTGATGGGTCAGAGGGTGCTTTTTTTCCTTTGTATTATTCACAAATGTTAAAGGCCACTCCTGACTTTGCCAGCCTGACAAGTTGAGCACAGGTGGACAAGTCTCTTAAGGTCTTCTTGCCAGGGGAGCTAATGTGAGCAGTTGTCTTTGCTGTGGAATTAGGAGCTGACACGAGACGCAGATCTAGTGGCAGAGAGGAAGACGATGAGGAGCTTCTGAGACGCCGGCAGCTTCAAGAAGAACAATTAATGAAGGTTTGTCCTTAAACTACTTTGCTGCAGTCTTCCATTCTGTTCCACCAATCTGTGTTTTTGAATGACTCCTACAGGTGGAGCCACCAAAATGAGCAAGAAGTGGTCCCAGCCCTCAAGGGCTTATGGTCCAGTAGGCAAGACAGGACGGGCATCCAGTGACTATATAAGGCAGAATACTTGGTAGGTTCTGGAAGAGATGACTTGGAGGCTGGAGGTCAGAGAGACGCGGAATGTTTGGGCTTTTGTGAGCAGAGTAAGACCCTGTGTGGCATACTCAGTGTGGTGCTCAGGACTCACAGGACCTTGTGTGTATATCTGGGCCAGGAGAGGGGATAAAATGGACTCTCCCCAAGACACCCTCATTATACCCCCTCATCTTTAGCATGAGCCCGCAGCATCCCAGAAGATCAAAAGAGGGATAGTCAATTACAGACTGGGGTGGGGGGGAGAGTCAGTTCTCTTACCAAAAAGGGACTGATGAATCCCTTCAAATGACGTTTTCCAGCGATGCTTAATCACGTGGGAAACACACAAGATACTAGTTACTTGAGGGAAAGGATACAAAGTTGCACTTATTGTATGATCTCAGTTTTGTGTAATATGTGCATAGAAAAATACTGGATGTATAAAATCAAAATGTAAATGGCGTTCATCTCTGAGTGGTAGACTATGAGCTATTCTTCTTTCCTTCTGGATTTTCTAAAACCTGTACAAAGAGCATGCATTACTTTTTTCCCCCTTGTTTTTAAACTAATCTGTGATATCTTTTTAAAGGCTGCTATCCCCAATCTGCCCTTCCCACATCGAGAATCCGCACGCACACACGCATTGCCCCCTGAGTTTACCTGCTGGCACTTTGGGGGAGGGCAAAGGAGAACGTTCCTCTGACGTGGCGCCTGGCTTAGGACAACAGAACCTTGACATTGGAAGGGCTAAGAGAGGTTCATTGTCCAAAACCAGGCTGAGCTTTTCGGGAACCATCAGGCGCTGGGACTCTCGGCATCTGGCCTCTCCAGAGTCAGGAACTTCTTGCAGGATCTCCTAAAAGGAAGCTGCAGTTTGCTGGGAGTAATGGCAGGCTTCACTTTCATTCTCCTGTTCTTTGTGAATAGCTCAACTCAGGCCTGGGCCAGTTGATACTGAAGGAAGAGATGGAGAAGGAGAGGGAGAGCCGGGAGAGGGCTGCCCTGGCAGCCAGTCGCTACGATTCCCCCATCAACTCAGGTGAGCCCAGACCCACCGCCTGCCCTGAGCCGGGAGCCTGCCTTCCCTGTTCCAGGAGGGGCAGGGCCACGTCTGGTGGGACCTGCAGCGTGTTCCACAGGAAGGGAAGCGTGGAAATCCTACTTCATGGTCAGCTTAGCTGAAGAGTTGGACATGGCTCTTCCTTAAATGTGTGTTTCCTTCCTGCTGGAAATGCGGGAGCCCTTGGAGGGTCTCAAGAACCAATCAGTTCCCTTGTGCTGGGTCTCCCTTCTAGAACATACATCTCAAAGGGAAGCAGCAAAAAGGAAATCCTTATAGAGAACAAGATGCTTTTTAACTGTAGATAGCATGAACAATATTTTCTAAGCATTATGAATTTATATTCATGTATTCAGTATGAGAGCTGAGAGCTAACAGTGTTATTTCTGATACTTTTGAAGGAGATTATTATATACTGAGCTGAAATCGTCTGTCAGTATATATCCTCCTGCTCATACCTATCATAAGCCAGTTATCTTATCTCACAGGATTTCTTCTCCCGTGTGCTGAACTAGCACGTAATTTTCTCTCCTGAGGCTTCCTTTAAACATGTGGTTAGTGTTTACTATGCAAACACTTCTGCTAAACATTATTTCATTTAATCTTCACAACATACCAATTAAGTAGATGATATTATTATTATCTCCATTTTGTAGATCAGGGGACAAGTAAAAGGAACTTTAAGTCACTTACATCCGCACTGTTAACAACTACCAGAACTAAGAGCCCGCACTTTTAGCTGGCATGCCCTGCTACCTCTCACAGATGCCTCACTGCCATTGATCCTGGATTGAGTAGTTTACTGATCTTTAGAGTTACTCCTAATTCTGCAGTTCCTGTTCCATTAAGAATAAATAGCACTATATCCACGTGGGTCAAGAAATGAAGACTTTGATGCAGTATCATGCTCAAAGAGGCAGAGGTGTTAAGTTGCAGAGAGAGCCTGAATTCAAGCCCAGGTCTGACCCCCCGCCAAAGCCTGGCAGCTTACTAGGCGTCCACATGGTTGATCAGTGGGACACCCTGTCCCAGGTCTCCCAGGAATCCAGCTGCAGTTGGCCAGTAGGTCTTATAACTTGCATGTTGGCTTACGTTGGCATGTTAGTTATCACTGCCCTACTGATTGGAGCTTGGGCCTGTGCATCCACTAGCCCCGGGCTCAAATCATCGTTCAGATGTTTATACAGCAGTCCACTTCTCTTAGCCCCCGTTTCTTCTCCTGTAGAATGGAAATAATACCAGCGTCCTGAGGGTTGTGTTGAGGATTCAGAGATAAAGCATGCCGAGCACTCCTGCTCCCCCACCCCTCCTGGACAGTTTCACTGCCCACTCATCCCAGCATCCCCCAAATACAGTGGCATTTTGTGAACATTTGAGCCCAATATTATTTGGATTTTTTTCCCTAAATCTTCTGTTCTTCAAGGTAGAAGATACACTGCCAATTTCATAAAAGAATTAGGCTTCTGGTTCCTAACAATTGCTTTTTTACCTTTTCCTTTTTCAGCTTCACATGCTCTGTCGTCTAAAACCTCATCTCTCCCAGGCTATGGAAGAAATGGGCTTCACCGGGTAAGATTTCTCACTTACTTGTTTCTGAGTTTATTCCCTCTTCAGTCCTGGTTGAAGTGTTGACATATTGTCTGAATACATCTGACAGCATGATCGCAATGTTGGAATATAGTGAAAATTGTCATCTCCCTGATCTGCTGCTAAATTACTTTGAGCTACAGGCGAAATAGGTTATTTCTACTGAGAGAAAGAGAAGTTGACTTTAGATAAAGAATAGCCTGGATAAGTTAATGGGAAAACTAGATTAATTGTGTGGCAAATATTTCTACAGTCAAGCAAAAAATAATTACTTGAGCCATTATCTCCTCTGGAAAAAAGAAACAGGAAAGTTTGTTAACAACCGCCCTTCCCACAAAGCATTGAAAAAATGTAACTGTGTAGCTGTGATGTAGAGACATGTACTTTTATTTATCAGCAAGAGACACTTGCTTACCAAGGGCCTGCTGAGCAGGAGCACTGGACGCATGACCAAAGACAAAGATTTCATAGAAGAAATACGTAGGAAAAACAGTGAGGGCCCTGGAATTCAGTTTGCGAAGATGTATTAGGATTTTGTACGTATCCTTTTACTTTTCGCCTGACTCCAAGCCAAGTACGGTGCTGCAGGCTTGCTGAGCATGTGTTTTTCCTGGTTTCAGCCTGTTTCTACAGACTTCGCTCAGTACAACAGCTACGGGGACGTGAGCGGGGGAGTGCGAGGTGAGGCTCCTGCTGGGGGCTGAAGGTGGCCCCCGTGGAGGGGTGGCCCTGCCGCCGCAGCACACTGGCTGGGCTCTGTCACATCCTGCAGTCAGATCACGTCTGTCCTCTGAGCTACCAGGGCAGTCATTAAAATCTCAGGGGATCTCTACTGAACGGAGACCCTGAGAAGCGAGTCTGGAGGAGGGCATTCGTTGCTCTTACTATGTGCCGAGCATGCAATTAAATACCTGGAAGTACAGTGATAAGCACGACATGGGCCTGCCTTCAAAATGCATGTGGCTGAGAGAAGGGGCGGGCCGGGGGCTCCGAGTGATAAATGCTATGATTGGAGATGCAGAGAGAAGGGAGAGACACCTTCAGGGGGTCGGGGAAAGCTTCCATGAGACAAGAGTGTTTAAACTGATCCCTGAAGCCAGGGCAGGCATTTCCTGGCTTCAGGGAGGCTGACGGGCAGTGTGTGCAGAGACCTGGAGTGGGGACAGAGCGCGGTTCGTTGGGGGATGTTTGGGGAATTGCAGTAGAATGTGGTCTCTGTTCATGTCTCCATGTTTTTCTCTGGTCTTGCCCGTCTGATATTTTTCTTTTTCTTTCCTTCCCAGACTACCAGGTATGGAGCACTGTCTCTCTTGACTTGGCCACACCAGCAAAACAGCCGTTTTCCAATCCAGACACATGCTGCTGCTCCCGGGAAGGGTTTCTGTCAAGAGGATCTTGATTTGGGTTGATCCGTCTAATCATTAGTCCACAGATGTGAGGAGTCGTGAGGAGCAGGCATGCCTGGTGCCCAGGTCAGGCTGGTCCTGCAGGCCTGGGGGACACGGCGTGAGCCAGGCCAGGTGTCAGAGACGCTCTTGCACTGGCCTTGGAGAGTCCTCTCTGTGAGGAAGTGGACCAGCATCAAGGGTCCGCACACGTACAGTTGTTTCCTCTTGGTTACAACCACTCAGCCCTCGAGGTCCTCCCTGCTGTGTGGTCGCAAATGAAAAGAAACCCCTGTCTTAGCCAATGGGAAAGAGCTGCTCTGGTACTATTCCTTTTTTCCTAGAACCTTAATCTTGTAAAATTAAGTTGGAGAATAAGAAAAGGGGGGGGGGGAATGCCAAGAAAAATAAGATCAAAATTAAAAAACAATCATAGACTTGGTGATTGTTTAATGTACTATATACTTTCATGCCTGGCGCCTAAATGCATGGATTGGTCAATAGTTATTAAGCCGGGATCTTTCTCTAACTGTATTTCACAAGAGCAGTATTCCTAGTATCCCTGCTTTTGTTCAGCAAGGAGCTCGTTTTGAAAACTCCATATCTGTAAAGTGACAGTGAGGATTTGAGACCAAACAGGAGGTTGGGGAGCCCCTGGAGCTCTCCCTCAGCTCCCCACGCCGCCCTGTACACCTCCTGAAACTGGCTTTTCTGTTGCAGACCCTCCCGGATGGCCACATGCCTGCAATGAGAATGGACCGGGGGGTCTCCATGCCCAACATGTTGGAACCAAAGGCAAGTGTGGCTCTTCCTCTCTTTCTTCTCACCTAGGGACGAAACTGGGACATAACCCTAAAGAGATCTGATTTCCTCTCTTTTTCATCACTCTCACTGTTGAGGACCACTTGGCTCCAGGCCAGTGCCTTAGGCAAGCCGTGTCACAAAGCATCTTTCCATTCTGCTGGTTTTGTCAGACCAGGTCAGCAGGTTTAAGCCCTCCCTGGCTGTGGTGCTGGATGTTCGTACTGAAGCACCAGCATTTGTCTCCTGTGACCTCAGGGTTAACTCAGCCCCTGCCCCGACATGGCAAAGCCTGCACAGTGCTTCATGGAGCGGCTGCAGACCACTCCAGGGAGGGTGACCAGCTGTCCCGGCTTGCCTGTGACTTTCTCAGTTTTAGCACTGAAAGTCTTGCATCCTAGGAACCGCCTCAGTCCTGGGCAAACTGGGATGGTTGGTCACCCCAGCTCCAGAACATCCTGTGATTCCAGAGGTGTCCAAGGGCAGTGCTCCCTGGTGACCATAACTGGGACTTATGTCATCCACCAGAACACTACTTCTGGGGCTGCCTGGCTCCCTGGGCTCTTAAACTGGTCATGTAACAGGTTTGTTGAGCCCTGCAAAGGTGTCCTGCTGTATAAAATGTGTACCTGTACATCCAGTTCTCTTCTAATTTTACTTTCATCCCCAATATATACTAAGTTGTATTCTTTCACTCAACAAAGCCCTCTAAAAGCACAGCTGGCAATGTGCAGGACTCTGCCCCTGTCCACGGGAAACGTGAGTGAGGAACACCCATGACTCAGGTCCTCTAATTACTGTATCTTAGAAGCACTATCTTAAGCTCCCTAGGCTTTAGGTAGTTTCTGCTTATTAATGAAATAGATGGCAGTTTTCTAAAAGAGGTGTTTTTCTTTGCTTCTTAGATATTCCCATATGAAATGCTGATGGTGACCAACAGAGGGCGTAACAAAATCTTAAGAGACGTGGACAGAACCAGGCTGGAGGTAAAAAAAAAAAATTCTGTCCTGTCTTGAGCATTTCCCCCAACTTTCCCTAAGAAGTATTCCAGTTAAGGAAAAAAAATAAAAAGGATCTACTTCATATTGTAGGTAGAACTAAGCTAACTTTGGAGGAAAACCCAAATTTATATTTAGGAGATCAGCATAAAATATAGGTGGCAAAATCCAGAAGAAAAACCCAGGAGATACAGTATGATTTTAGTCATTTTCTTTGGAAATTTGATGTTGCCAAAATTTATGGCTCGTGATGTAGAATGGAGTTTCCATCCCTCTTCAGATACCCCCAGATCCTTATCTTTCCCTCGAGTCAGGGTGGAGTTTACTGAGAGAGGGGAGGGGACGCTCGGTGAAGAGGTGTGCCCTGGACAGGTTTCCACATTCCATGCTGAAGGGTTACCTGGGCCCACATACCCAAGGCCTCCTTAGACATGGAAGACTGATCTTTGTACTTTTCCGCCTGAATGATTTTAATTAAGAAAAACTCTGGCTGCCAGTCTCATAAAGAATCATTACTTTTCCCTGACAAATGGGGGTACGTTTATACAGGAAGTCAGTCTGGAGCAGACAATAAATGCTCCACTATCCTAAGAGAACTTTTCTAAGAGGGACAACAGATTGAAGTTCTCCTCAGTAGACCGAGCAGCCACCTGCCCTCCTGTTGCTGAGCCAGGAGAAAGCCCTGGGGCTCCCAAAGGACCACTCTGCAAGTCTCTCTCTGGCTTTCTGGTCCGTTCTCCCTGCATCTTCTCAGCATCCCAAGAACCTGAAGTGGAGTCAGCTCTGGCATAACGAGTCACCTTCCCACGCCCCATCACCACTCAGTGTTGTTATGATAATCCTTGATACTCCACCAGCTCTTTTGTTGGGTGGGCGGGGCGCCTCACCTGGCCTGACCAGGTAAGGAACCGCTGGGCCCAGTGCCTGCTAAGAAGCCTCAGGGGTAAACTCCTCTTCCGTCACTCTGCCTGGCCCTGCACAGCGATCACTTGTACACTGGAGAGCAACTCTCAAGGCCGTCCACGTGGCCGTTAGCACTGACCAGTGTTCTTTTCTCCCACCGCAGCGCCACTTAGCCCCTGAAGTGTTCCGGGAAATCTTTGGGATGTCCATACAGGAGTTCGACAAGTTACCTCTTTGGAGACGCAACGACATGAAGAAAAAAGCAAAACTCTTCTAGGTCCCACACGGAGACTGCAATTAGAAAAAGGACTGACAATGGCGGCGACACGTAGGCTGTTGTTTTAAGGCCCAAACTTGATTGGAGAACTTGCAAACTACTGTCCCTCGGCAACAACAAAAAGGGAAAATCCGAGTAAAACACCCACGAGCCAAATGGCGGGCCAACCCACGGCAACACCTGCCCAGAAGCAACGGGGTCGAGATGCCTGTGTTCCCTCACTCAACAGTAGCGTTCACGTGTGACCTTCTTACATCACCTGATGTACACGATAGGAGCGCCTTCTTTTGTCTTCCTTCAGCTGTTGTCCAACCGTAGTGCTGACTGTGTGGATAAGAGCCAGCAAGTGCCCTTAGGATGCCGCATGGGAAAAAAAGCAGTTGTAATAATTCCAAAGTCTGAATATATTTATTCTGTAGCACCGAGGCTGAGAAGGAAGAGCCAGAGGGACAGATCGTGGGGGAGCAGCCTTTGCACACGCCTTTCCTCACCGGCCTTAGGCAGCTCTGCCTGTGCTTTAGCAGGATGGAAATCCGAGTCGAGGACCCCGGCTGCTCTGTCTGAGTGGGTTGAATAGCCGCCAAAGTCATTTTTAATAAGCTCCTCGTTCCCTACTGTTTGCTAAGAGCTGATGGGCAAATGGCTTAGCTGTTATCGAAAAAAAAAAATTAAGAGAAGGAGAAGAAACGGCATGAATGAAAATTCTCCCTTCACTCTTTCCTAGTTCAGAACGTGTGCTTCATTCTTCCTCCCCAGCAACGTCAGGAGCCGTCTAACCCCTTCCCCTTTTACAAAGAAAGGAAAGGGGGAAATTGTCTCCAGATTGGCCCCATTGTATGCTGTTAGATGAGTTTTGCCCAAGGGCCAGAGCAGTCTTGGCAAAAAAAACCCCCAAAATTCCATGTCCTCCCAACGCAAGCTCTCCCGCCCAGCATCCTCTGCTCTGCCCGGCTTCCTCTAAATCAGATCAGGCCCTCACTGATTCGGGGTTTTTTAAGGTCTTTTCATTGCTAGGCTAAGGGAAGATACGTTTTCCTCTTTGAAATCGCTGCAACTCCAAGGTAGATTGCCTCAAACTGATTTAATTTGGCCTTTTCGGCTTTCTCTCCTGGCTGTGTTGACTTCCTGGTGTGTCTGTGTGTGTGTGTCTGTGTGTGTGTGTGTGTGTGTGTGTGTTGACTCACCCAGGGCAGTTTGAAGAATCTGCACGTGCTCATAAATTTCACTCCTGCTTCAAATGTTTGTCCCATTCTGCTTCTAAGAGACATTTGCACTGGTGCACGAGACAAAGATCAGCAGTGAGGCTAAGTGCATCCCTGACACTGTGTCCCTCGTGGAAAGGTGTTGGTGGTTAGAAGCCAGCATATTCTACAAGAGATGGAGCTCAAGTGAGCATCAGACTGAAGACCGCAGACCTAGGGTCAGGCTGTGTGTGGACCTCAGAGCATCTCACCAGAGTCTTTAAACTTAGCAACACAAGATTCACACTGGAGCCAAAAGTTGCACGTAAGACCGCACCATGGTTCCTGAAAGCCTCTGGCTGTGACTCAAAACAGGTCATGAGTCACACGTAGGAGGTTGTCACAGTTATTCTCCTGCTTTGGGGGTCTGCTTAAGAATTTAAACTCTGTTTGAAGCCAAAGGAGAAAACATAGGAGATTGTCACATTTATGTGTGTGCTCTGGGGGAAGGGGTCAGCTTAAGAATTTAAACTCCGTTTTAAAGCCAAAGGAGAAAAGTTTGGATTCACCTGCCTACACACTAGTGACAAAAGCTCAGAAATTCTTCCTGTTGGCACCAAGCGTTAGAATTGGTTAGTAGCTGACACTCGTGGCAAAAAGCAAGCAGAATAGCCTGGGCTCGTG